CAATCTTACAACTGAAAGCAAATTCTTAACAGAACCATTTGAATTAACATATATAGTGCTATATATAGTTAACAATTTTCACAGTCTTACAACTTTAACTCTTAGTAGAATCACTTGAATTTTCTTGCTAACAGAATATAACATTAATCCACTCAAAATATTTTTAAATGAAATAGACTAAGGAATATTAATTCTCCCTTTTATTTATAATTTTTTAAGTAAAATCTCAAGCCTAGTTAGAAAACCCAAGATTTCCTGTTTAAACAGTACCATATGTAACACAAAACCAGTTCCATAAGTAATTCCATTTTTACATACAGTTCCATAAAACAATTCATGAATCACCAGTTAATAAAGCATATATGCATACACAAAATTGCATATTGACTCTAGGTAGAAACAATACATTTCTTCATTTAAATAATTCCATTTTTAACACAAATAATTCCAGAAAACAGTTCCTAGGTCATTACTATAAGTAAACTCAAAATTGTTCCATTGCAATGAGATCTATTGTTCATTTCATTAAGCCCTAAAGTTCAAATAATAAATTCTGGTACTAGCCTTCCAAATATGAAGAAATCCATAACCAAAATCTTTTTGTAGTTTTATCTCATTTTTTAACTTCAAAAAGTTAATTCTGGTATCAGGCTTTCACTTCCAAATATGAAGAGACGTTTTACAACCAAAAGTTTTTCCAGGTAACAATTTTAGTTCAAACAAGCATCTCTGCAACTTTTATTCTCAAGCCAGAGACCTTTTTAGTTATAGTAATATTTTAAACTGCACCATTTTTGCTGTTAGCTCTGGTTTTTCTGTATTGCGTTGATTTTCCATGGATCTCAGCTGCAGATGCCTTGCGCTGGTTCTGGCATTCACCATTCTTAGCGGCTTCTGGAACTTTTGAAAACTACTCAGAATGCTTACTTTGCAGTCTGCTAGAACACTACCTTCTGTGTCTCAGGTTCTTCCACCATGTACATTAAGCATAGACTCACTCAATATTTACACTTTTTCACAAACTCACATATAACATGTGCTTAAGCATAAACTCACACTCAACATTTACACATTTTTACAAACTCACATATAACATTAACATCTACTTATTTATACTCCTTAAGGAAACTATAGAACTACTTTAGCAAATATATTTCTTATTACTTTTTATATAC